GACTAGCGCGCTGAGCGGACAAACAGCTGATCAGCTGTTTGTCGGCTCAGCGCGGCAGCCATGTAAATTTAAATGAAGCCGCGATCATTTAAATCGCAGCTTCATTTGCCTTTGCCTATCTGTCTAATCTACATGGCTCCATCGATGGAGCCATGTAGTCTAGACACAGCCCTTGAGATTTCCTAAGCCAAATTCCTGGGGCAGAAATTGACATAGCTCAGCCAGCTGAAGAATCTAACCCCAGCTGTTGATTCATTGTCAGTTTATTACACAAACATTTTTTATTGAGGATCTTGCAACATAATTCATGTCAGGCCATTTGCACCTCCATTTCCTACTTTGCAAGACAGGCTGGAGTTCAATCAAGCTCCTGCAACCAGATTTCAGTGGATAATTTTAAAGTCATCGTGCTAGTTAGGGAAACAGCTAGCCCTCTTCTCACTTATGCATGTATTAGCTATGAATCCTCCAGACCAAATTTACTTATTGTTTCAGATGGTCTTTGTTTTGCTGCTACTGCATTGTTTTTCCTCTTTTGCTGAATTGCCTACTAAGTATCATCTACTTAGCTTCTGTAGATAGATGCTTAATTCTTAGCATTCTCTCTGCTTGCTGCTTAGCCAAAATATAAACTTGTTTTTACAAATAGAACTGGGAAGGTCACTTTCATCCAATTTACAGCAAGATCAATACACTCCAGTGACCCTCTCTCTCATATGGTCTGATCCAGCCACCACTCCACTCAATGACAGGATCCCATTTCATTCCGGGGTTATTGAATCAGTCCCATATTCTTCCTTTGATCATGGTTCTTGCACACTAAATACATCTTTTTCTGGAAGCATAGGCGGAAATCAGTAGAAAGATTCCCGTTGATCTTCTGGGACTGGCATCTGGCCTTGAGATTTCCCAAAATGCTGCCAGCACTTTCCAAGATGTCACAAGAATTCTTGTGTGAATTGAGTCTTTGTTACTTATCTAATGTGTGCTGCTGGAAGTAATATTAGATGTACAGCAAAATGCTGAGCATCTAAAATTTGTATTTAAACAGCCGTGTTATTTTATTACAGTTAATCTGCAACTCTGACCTACAAACAAGCATGTGCTTATATAAAATGGATTGATTGTACTTGACAACTTTTGTTATTAGACTTGCATCTTATTTACAAAACAGACAGTGTCCCACCCAATGTTATACATCCCACAGTACTTTGTGTAGCAATGAACCATCTACATTTGCTGCTCCAGGGCCTGTCACCAGTCACTGATGCCTGTCTTGGGGAAAATGGGTTTGTTTGCTTTTTTACACAACATTGGATGTTTCCAAAATGTGAAACGATGTTGACTGCATCACTGGGGCTATGTCTAGACTGCAAGCCTCTTTCGAAAGACGCTCTTTCGAAAGATACTTTCGAAAGAGCCTCTTTCGAAAGAGAGCGTCTAGACTGCACGTTGAACTTTCGAAAAAGCGGCTTGCTTTTTCGAAAGAAAGCATCCAGTGAGTCTGGATGCTCTCTTTCGGAGAAGCCCTATTTACATTGAAGAACGCCTTCTTTCGAAAGAGGAACTTTCGAAAGAAGGCGTTCTTCCTCGTGAAATGAGGTTTACCGCCATCGAAAGAAAAGCCGCGTTCTTTCGATTTAATTTCGAAAGAACGCGACTTGAGTCTGGACGCAGGTGAGGTTTTTTCGAAAAAAGGCTACTTTTTTCGAAAAAACCCCTGAGTCTGGACACAGCCTGGGTAGGAATTGGGTTCTAAGTGCAGTGCATAAACGTGCAAACATGAACTGAACCTATTAGACTATTCACTAGGAAATGGCATGTTCTTTACTCTTCAGTATTATTGATGTTTGCATTTTGGGGTTAGATCCAGATTTGTTACTTCGAAGTCAGTCAGGAAAAGATTGAGATAGAATGGGGGCTAAAATGCTGATTCTTGTTCAGATACCTGGAGATTTTATACCTGAAAATACCCTTGTAACTAATCAGTTTTTGGCGCTATTCATCCCTGCTGTAACTCCACTGAAGCCAATGGAGTTGCCCAGGAATGAGTTTAGTCTGTTGTGCTTTTTGCAGTGGTTTCAGTATCAGAAGCAGAAGATGTTTTGGGATGAGAGCTGGATTATAGACTTCTCCTGCATCAAACAAGGTTTGTAAGTACTGTCACTTTGATGCTCTTCTCAGTAGTGTACATATATCCTGTAGGGTAAATGAACCACACGTAGAGATAGGACCATATTCCTGAAGGAAGAGGATCTATGGTGCTGGTCATCGCAGCATCTGGGAGCTGATCAGTTATTTTAGTATCACTACATTAGAGAGCTTGCAGTTGGTACAGTTGCACCAACTCCTTGAGTAGTTCTAGTGTAGCTCCAAACCAATAGGAGAGAGCACTGTCCACGCTGACAGGTAAGTGGTGTAATTTATCTCACTCATGGAGGTAGTTTATTCACACCCCTGAGTGATATAAATTATACCAACATAGGTAGTAGTATAGAAATAGCCTAAATGACAGGTGTTTTTAAAATAGGTTTTGGGGCTTTTGCCCAGTAATTTATAGTGATTTACAAATAAAAGACAAAGGAATGGATCAAAATACAGAAATTCTCTGTGGAAATATGTGAAAATGGGCACAACAGATGGCCTTAGTCCTTTTATGATCTACATGCTTTTTTATAAATGACTTCAGTGGAGTTACTTTGGATTTGCACAGATGTAAGCAAGAGCTTAATTTGTCCCACTGTGTGTTACCTGGAGCTGAAGTAATTCATCATGACTTGAGTTTTCTTCAATGTATCTAATGTGTAAAACATTAATTATATTTGTTTTCCACTTGGACATTTTATAACATAGGAGCATTACTGTAAAGCATGTACGTTAGCTATCATATTCTGGAAAAATATATGAGTCAGATCAAGGGTGGGGAACCTATGGCCCAGAGGCCAAATGCGGTCCCCATCTTGCCTGGATCCAGTCTCTGAGGTTTGCAGCTCCTGCCCCCCCCCCCCCCCCCCCCGCTATCCCTCTGTGGGGTTGGAGCACACAAAGTAGCCAAGAGCATGTAGGGGAGAAGAAAAACAAAATGAAACCTTCCTGCGACAAACATTAAGTGTGCAAAGAACTGATATTTTAAATCGAGTGTCCCCAAAAAGCATATCAATGAAATTCACAGCTGATACTAAACTGGGAGGAGTTGTGAACTCCAGAGGGCAGAGAAACATCCCTCTGTGGGGTTGGAGCACACAAAGTAGCCAAGAGCATGTAGGGGAGAAGAAAAACAAAATGAAACCTTCCTGCGACAAACATTAAGTGTGCAAAGAACTGATATTTTAAATCGAGTGTCCCCAAAAAGCATATCAATGAAATTCACAGCTGATACTAAACTGGGAGGAGTTGTGAACTCCAGAGGGCAGAGAAACAATGCAAAGGGACAGACTGATTAGAAGCATGGGCAGCAAACAACAAAATGAGTCTCTGCTTGGAAGAATGCCAAAATGGAACACATCTAGTCCGTGGGAGAGGGGAAATCTGGAGGGAAATAATTCTCAAGCTAATAATGGATAGCAAATTAAAATGAGAAAGCCTGAGTTTGCAGCCGGATCTGGCAACAATAGCCACAAAGTGGCAATGCAGTTCTGAGTGGCTATGCCCCTGTTTGTTCCATTGCATTATGCCTATTCATAATAATGTCCGTCTCTAGCTCTGAGGGGACCTCAGCAGGGATACAGAGTTTATTTCTGTGTCACCCTTTACCGGAAAGATTAGCACGAGACAGAGTTGAGGAAAAGTAAACAAAAGTGACAAGGTGGCAGGGTAGACTGACTTTCTTGGGAATGTTAAGTGAAGGGCTGAATGGCATTTAAGTAAGATCATGTAGTTGACCGACATATTTGAAGAGTGCAAACATCAAGACAAGAAAATGTTACAGTTTGATACTGCAATGGAATGAAATCAAGGAAGGGAATAGTTAGGTTGAATAGCAGGAAAAACTTTGTGACAGATCTATCAGGCACCTCTCTCGTGGATACATTTAAAATGAAACGTGACAGAATGCTAGTAAAGGTGCACAGCAGAACACTGAAAATCTAACAGGTATTGTAGGGCAGAATTCATATTTATTTATAATCCCTATGACAATCTCTCCAGCTCTCTTCAGCATAGTATCTACCCTGTGTGCCTTCTTTCACGAGTCACTCTAATTGGCCCCCTATGTAGTTTTGTTGCATTGAGCTGAACACAAAGTATCCCCTTTTATAACCCCCCCAAAAGACATGTGAAAATGTGGATACTTCAGTTTTTCAGCCATCTGGAGTGTTGTTCTGCTTTGAATTCCCTTTAGTGTCAGAATCACTTCCCATGAGAATTACGTTAAATTCTTCAGAGAGATCCAAATAGATTTGTAACGTCTGATTTTGGAGTTTGGGCTTTTTTTGTACTCTCTCCTCCTTTATTGGCTTTGTCCCCTGCATGCAGTGACACTCGCGGAGTTTGAAACTGTTCCATAAAGAGCTGATAGGTTTGAAGGCAGAGGAGCCGATTGATGCTAGTGGGAGTGGCCAATGCATATGGCTGTCAGCCACAGTCAGCGCTAACTGACGGCTGAACCCTAAAGCAAAGCATAAGTGAGCCTGCCCTCTAGTGCCAATGGCAGCAGAGCTTCCTGGGGTTATATGATTCAGGAGTCTTCTGCACATACCCTGCCTATGCCATGCATCTCAATGTTTTTTTTTTTAATTTAGATCACAGGCTACGGACAACAATGGGCAGCACCATTAGTGTGGCCCATGCACCCAGTGATTCCAACGCCAGCTGTCTCACCGCCCTGAGCTCTTGCACAACAGCTGTCAACACGTCCAGGAAACAGCACTTCACCCAGACAGGGCTATAGTAGGCTTATCTATCCGTCAGTCTGTGCGTTATGTTGTGTATTGTAGTTACACCTGTGCAAGGGGGAACCCTGGCTATGTTATCCCCTGGAAATAAGTGGGAGGGTTAGTTTTCCTCTGCTTGGGCCAGGGCCAGGGCTAGGAACAGGAACAGCAGGGACAAGCCTGGCCTTCCTATCACATGCCAGCTGCAGGATATTCTCAGACACTTCGATGTTTTCTATTTTTGGATGCCCCTTTTCCTTCCCTTGCTGAGATGTCAATGCCTGTGGGACTGGGCTGTAAACTTGGCTCTGCTTCTGAACATCCATGGCGCTCGAGTTTCTTTGGAGGTAGGGTTTTGAGTCAGGCCCATCTCCAATAGTCAAATGAAACACAAGAAAGTGCTTTGCCATAGGAAGTGATGTCCTATGCCCATTATAATCCATCCCCTTAAATCAGCTCACAAGACTGGTAACAGCACACTTCCTCTCTGGATCATTGGTCTGGAATCCACCCCTGGTTGGTGGGCTCCTACCCAGACCCAAAAGGTATATCCGTGGCTACTAAACTTCTTTTGCAGAAGCACCTTCCTTCCACACCCTGCAATCCTCTCTACAAAATCCCCTCACCTCCCAGTAAAGTTGCTGCTCTCTCCTTTGTCCAGCAGTTTCATTTTCTCACCCCACCCCTTCGTCCTTTGTGTTCTCTCTTTATTTCCTTTTACTTTCCTTTCTGTTTTGTGCTTCTCCTACCTAGGTGGGTCAGCCTCCTTCCCCAGGGGCTTCCCTTCCCTGGTACTCTGACACACTGGAAGGCTGTGCCCTGCAGGGGGGCAAGAATCCACCAATGGCTTTGTGTGGCATTTGTGCAACTGAGCTGAGTGCCACATGGAAGCACAGAAGAGAGATTGGGCTGGCAGGCTGCTGCCTAAAACTGCAGCCCTGTACACAAGAGCTACTCCCCAGCTGACTGCATTTGAAGTTGCTGCAGCTGGGAGGGAAGGAGAGAGTGGGCAGCTTTCAAGCAATCGCCTGCTGCTTTGCCCCTGCTGCTTAGTCCCCTTTTATTGGGGAGATGCAGCTTTCTGTGCCCACCCACTGGTTCTTTTCTCTGCCCCACACCACTCCCATCTATTACATAGTTGTCAGATGCTCCCTGCAGAAAAGAGAAGACTTCACGTCTTTGATTGGGAAACATTCTAATACACAGAGATAAATTGAGTAGAGTTGCTGATTAGTTGCAGTTAACTAAAATTAATTGTGATAAGTCACACTGTTAAACATTAGAATACCAACTGAAATTTAAACATGTGGATTTTTTTCTACCTCTTTAATGTTGATTTCAGTTATACAATACAAAGTGTGCTGCGTCCACTTTATATTCTTTCACTACAAATGTATGCACTGTAAAAATGATAAACAAAAAAGTATTTTTCAATTCATTTCATACAAGTACTGAAGTGCAATCCACCTGTAACATACAAATGTGGGACTTGAGGTTTCTTTTGATTGCCGAAAGTGTAAACTGCACTCAAGCCCCCCAAAAGCCTACAGTCTACTCAATCCTACTTCTTGCTCTGCCAATTGCTAAGACAAAGTTGTTTACATTTACAGGAAATAGCACTGCCTGCTTCTTACTTACAGTGACACCAGCAAGTAAGAACTGATGTTCAAATAGCACTTTTGGAACTGATGTTGCAAGGTGTTTACTGCCAGGGAGTTAAATATGCGTAAGCCGCCATTTCAGGGGACATACTTCCATGCTGATGATTCTCTTTAAACAAGTTATTCATTAATAAAATTTGTGACTGAACTCTTTGAAGGAGAATTCTCTCCTGTTTTACCTGCATTCAGCCACATATTTCTTATTATAGCCGTCTTGGATGATGACCCAGCATACGCTCATTTTGAGAACAGTCTTCAGCAGATCTGATAAAACACCAAAACGATACCAATGTGAGATTTCTAAAAATAGCTACAGTGCTTGATCCAAAGTTTAAGAAACTGAAGTGCCATCCAAAAATCTAAGAGGATCGAGGTATGGAACATGCTTTCAGAAGATTTAAAAGAGCAACACTCCAATGAGGAAACTATAGAACCTAAACCACCAAAAAAGAAAATCAACCTTCTGCTGGTGGTATCTGACTCAGAGGATGAAAATGAACATGCATTAGCCCACACTCCTTTGCATCATTATCTAGCAGAACCCAAGATCAGCAGAGATAAGATTTAAAAGAGCAACACTCCAATGAGGAAACTATAGAACCTAAACCACCAAAAAAGAAAATCAACCTTCTGCTGGTGGTATCTGACTCAGAGGATGAAAATGAATATGCATTAGTCCACACTCCTTTGCATCATTATCAAGCAGAACCCAAGATCAGCAGAGATGCATATTTTCTGGAATGGTGATTGAAGCATGAAGGAACATACGATTCTTTAGTGCATCTGGCATGTAAATATCTTGCAATGCCAGCTACAACAATGCTATGTGAACATCTATTCTCACTTTCAGGTGTAATTGTGATCAAGAAGCAGGCAGCATTATTTCCTGCAAATATAAAACTTGTTTGTCTGAGCAATTGGCTGAACAAGAAATCGGACTGAATGGACTTGTTGGCAATAGAGTTTTGCATTTTTTTATTTTTGAATGCGGGGGGTTTTGTACATAAATGTTTGTCTGAGCAATTGGCTGAACAAGAAATCGGACTGAATGGACTTGTTGGCAATAGAGTTTTGCATTGTTTTATTTTGAATGCAGGGGGTTTTGTACATAATTTCTATATTTGTAAGTTCAACTTCCATGATAAAGAGATTGTACTTCAGTACTTGAATTAGATGAATTGAATACTTATTTTGAATGCAGGGGGTTTTGTACATAATTTCTATATTTGTAAGTTCAACTTCCATGATAAAGAGATTGTATTACAGTATTTGAATTAGATGAATTGAATGCCACATTTGTTTTTTACAGTGCAAATTTGTAATAAAAATATAAAGTGAGCACTGAACACCTTGTATTCTGTATTGTAACTGAAATCAGTATATTTGAAAATGTAGAAAATATCCACAAATATTTAAAATGGTATTCTATTATTGTTTAAAAGTGTGATAAATTGTGTGATTAAAAATCAGAATTAATCACAATTATTTTTTCAATTGCTTGACAGCAGTAAAGTTGACCTGAGTTACAAAATTTGTAATGATCTATGCGTGTTTTTATTGCACGCATACCCACAGCTTCAAGGTGCTTTACCGCAGAACTCTTGCTCAGCCTATTACAGAAAGAGGCCCTAATCAGGAAATTCAGACCCACATTCCCATCCAGATTTTGACAAAATCTATATTTGTGCGGCCTCCCCAGAACATTAAAGCCCCTAAATAACCCACATTCCCATCCAGATTTTGACAAAATCCACATTTGTGCAGCCTCCCCAGAACATTAAAGCTCCTAAACAGAGAATATTGCATATGCACCATGTGGTATTCCAGAACTTAGAAAAGTCTTTATCTTGTTGCAGTGATGGTAGAACAGTCGCAATCAAGAAAATAAGGAAGAAGACATTCACCCTGTCTAAATCTATACGCAAGGAAGTAAAACAAGTGAGGTAAACATTAAAACCTGCACATTATATGCCATTCTACATTTACACCAGTGTAATGGAGATCAGAACCTGCCCCAGTGTTATTTGTGTTCATGCTTTTCTCTCTCAAACAGTGTTGAAAACACATTACTTTGAACCTGGTTGAACATGTTCCTACGCATATTTAGCTTTTCCCCTACACCTAATAGCAACACTTGACCTTCTAAGTCTCCCCTGTATGCCTTTGGAACTGGAAAGGGTATGATTCCTCTTCATTTTCACAGAGAACTTGATCATCCCAATCTCTGCAAATTCATCGGTGGTTGTACAGAGGTGCCAAATGTTGCCATCGTGACAGAATACTGTCCAAAAGGTAGCCTGAGTGATGTGTTGCTTAATGAAGACATTCCTCTCAACTGGGGCTTCAGGTAAAAAACAGGTGAAGTAAGAGATACACCTAGCACCACCAGGTGATGCTTAGGTTGAAGAGGGATATTAAATATGGTAAATGTGACATTGCTGTGATATAGAGGATAGCATGCTTATGAAAGCAAGGAGAGAGAGACCCATTGGATGAGAGACATCCAAGTTTCTGATTTGACCTGTCCTGTGCATATACGGGGACCCCTGAATTTAGTATTTCCAATGTCACAACCAGACCTTTTTACCCCATCTCTAGTATGCTGCCACACCTTTTTAAACTTGGGTTCCCATATAACCGTTTTTATTTCACAGCTGTAGTCTGTACTTTGATGTCCTGATTCAAGATAAGTAAGAATGAAGCATAGCCAAATTCATGATCATTCAATAATGAACAGATTAATACAATACAGATTAATACAATAAAAAATGCATCACTAGCACTATCTATACAAACAAATGTATATAAAACGGGCTCAGGATTTCAAAGGAACTCCCATATGAAATACTTCTTCATGTATAATTGCGACATTCCCTTATCTGTTCTATTTCTTTTATGTTTGCCTTGCTTCTAGGCAACTGAAAAGAAAAAAAGTGGTCTGAATTGACATGCCACACAAACTAAGAAGGAGGAGTCCTTTGCACATCCAATAAATATCTGTGCACATGATTCAATCCTGCAAACTGCTGGGAACTCCCGCAAGAAACTGAGTTCCTACAGGTGGCCCAGAACCCTCAATTCCCATTCAACTGCATGGGAATGAGGTCCTCACAGAAGTCCTCAGCACTTTCAGGGACTGGCTCCCTAGGCACTGATCTATTTAAATCAGCAGGACTCTTTCCAGTGCTTCCAACCGTCTTTGAATCAATCCCTTCCCGCATGTCTGGTTCAATGAAATACTGACTCGTTAATGGTCTTGTGCCTTTCAGATTTTCCTTTGCTGGAGACATTGCCCAAGGAATGGCTTATCTTCACCAGCATAAAATCTATCATGGACGCTTAAAGTCAAATAATTGTGTGATAGATGATCGCTGGGTCTGTAAAGTTTCAGGTAATGAAGAGAGATGAAAATCTGAAACATGGCCAACTAATGCAGGCTCATTCCCTGCCATTCACTGCTCCTGCAGGACTGAGCGCCAACATTGTAGGTGGAAATGCTAAGTGCAGCAGCCTTCATTAAAAGCAAACTATGTTAGAGCAAAAGTCCCATTACATTATCCTGTCTGGTTTCCAATTTACATGTGTCAGGACTGCACCAATCGTGCGACACAAATAATGGAGTCAGTCATCAGACCTAGCAGTAGCTATGCCATTCTCTGTGATGTTTTTTTCCGCCTGATGCAATTCTCTGACAAAGCAAATCCTCCTTTCAGACAATAATCACAGTGGCCTGGGTGAAAAGCTGGGCTTCCAGTCTAAAGAATAGGATCATTGGAGTTTCACCAGTAGAGACTGGTCAGAACCAAAACCCTGAACCTGAACCCTTGCCTCCCACACCAAATTTCAGTCATGTCTGGATGTAGGACATAGAGGTCAGAAATTATATCACAATGTTCTCTGAACATAGCTCAGCATCCAGATGCTGGGTCAGATCCCAAGGTCCCGACTAGCTTCTTATCATGCAGGTTGGAAGATGGGGGGAAAGCTAGTCTTTTCTCTAGGTGCACCTCTACCCTAGCAACAGGGAAGTGGATGGTGCAGAAAAGAAGTGGACTACTGTCCAAAAGGTAGCCTGAGTGATGTGTTGCTTAATGAAGACATTCCTCTCAACTGGGGCTTCAGGTAAAAACAGGTGAAGTAAGAGATACACCTAGCACCACCAGGTGATGCTTAGGTTGAAGAGGGATATTAAATATGGTAAATGTGACATTGCTGTGATATAGAGGATAGCATGCTTATGAAAGCAAGGAGAGAGAGACCCATTGGATGAGAGACATCCAAGTTTCTGATTTGACCTGTCCTGTGCATATACGGGGACCCCTGAATTTAGTATTTCCAATGTCACAACCAGACCTTTTTACCCCATCTCCAGTATGCTGCCACACCTTTTTAAACCTGGGTTCCCATATAATAGTTTTTATTTCACAGCTGTAGTCTGTACTTTGATGTCCTGATTCAAGATAAGTAAGAATGAAGCATAGCCAAATTCATGATCATTCAATAATGAACAGATTAATACAATAAAAAATGCATCACTAGCACTATCTATACAAACAAATGTATATAAAATGGGCTCAGGATTTCAAAGGAACTCCCATATGAAATACTTCTTCATGTATAATTGCGACATTCCCTTATCTGTTCTATTTCTTTTATGTTTGCCTTGCTTCTAGGCAACTGAAAAGAAAAAAAGTGGTCTGAATTGACATGCCACACAAACTAAGAAGGAGGAGTCCTTTGCACATCCAATAAATATCTGTGCACATGATTCAATCCTGCAAACTGCTGGGAACTCCCGCAAGAAACTGAGTTCCTACAGGTGGCCCAGAACCCTCAATTCCCATTCAACTGCATGGGAATGAGGTCCTCACAGAAGTCCTCAGCACTTTCAGGGACTGGCTCCCTAGGCACTGATCTATTTAAATCAGCAGGACTCTTTCCAGTGCTTCCAACCGTCTTTGAATCAATCCCTTCCCGCATGTCTGGTTCAATGGAATACTGACTCGTTAATGGTCTTGTGCCTTTCAGATTTTCCTTTGCTGGAGACATTGCCCAAGGAATGGCTTATCTTCACCAGCATAAAATCTATCATGGACGCTTAAAGTCGAATAATTGTGTGATAGATGATCGCTGGGTCTGTAAAGTTTCAGGTAATGAAGAGAGATGAAAATCTGAAACATGGCCAACTAATGCAGGCTCATTCCCTGCCATTCACTGCTCCTGCAGGACTGAGCGCCAACATTGTAGGTGGAAATGCTAAGTGCAGCAGCCTTCATTAAAAGCGAACTATGTTAGAGCAAACGTCCCATTACATTATCCTGTCTGGTTTCTAATTTACATGTGTCAGGATTGCACCAATCGTGCGACACAAATAATGGAGTCAGTCATCAGACCTAGCAGTAGCTATGCCATTCTCTGTGATTTTTTTTTTCGCCTGATGCAATTCTCTGACAAGGCAAATCCTCCTTTCAGACAGTAATCACAGTGCCCTGGGTGAAAAGCTGGGCTTCCAGTCTAAAGAATAGGATCATTGGAGTTTCACCAGTAGAGACTGGTCAGAACCAAAACCCTGAACCTGAACCCTTGCCTCCCACACCAAATTTCAGTCATGTCTGAATCTAGGACATAGAGGTCAGAAATTATATCACAATGTTCTCTGAACATAGCTCAGCACCCAGATGCTGGGTCAGATCCCGAGGTCCCGACTAGCTTCTTATCATGCAGGTTGGAAGATGTGGGGAAAGCTGGTGGAACTTTCCCCTTTACTTCCCCCAGTACTGTGTGCTATATGTAGGGCCAGGACCCAGTGTCTGCTGGAGGAGTCTTTTCTCTGGGTGCACCCCTACCCTAGCAACAGGGGAGTGGATGGCGCAGAAAAGAAGTGGATATGCTAGCGCTTTGTTGCACTGCAATGAATCTACTATGGCTGGGCACACTGGGCCAGAAACCACAGCAGGGGTAGCAAGAAGCAGCCATGCCCCACCACACAATATCACCCAATATTCCAGCTGCAGTTCCAGTATTCACAACCATATAGGAATATAAATCAGAGCAATATGTAATGTTATTTTTAAACCAAGCCTCATCCTTCCCATACAGAGCAAACACCTTTAAAGCACTAATATTACCACCGCTGATGGCCGAGTGGTGTGATGTGCCCAGTGTGGGCACTCAGGGCACTCCAAGCCAGAACTTCTTTGCAAGCGGGGCACCCCTTAGAACTGTGTGTCCGGGGTGGGGGTCGGGACCCTTTAAGCGCAGCCCTCGGCTAGCCTGAGACAGTATCTCCATGCTCTAAGTCCTCCTTTTATGCCCTGCCGGCACTGCTTCCGGCCATCCTTAAGCCCTGTTCAGAGTCCACTCAATGTGGACTTACTAGTTCGAACTAGCAAAACGCTAGTTCGAACTAGTTTTTAGTTCTAGATGCGTTAGTTCGAACTAGCTTAGTTCGAATTAACTAATTCGAACTAAGTTAGTTCGAACTAGCGCTGTAGTGTAGACGTACCCTTTCTGAGTACCTGTTCCCTTCTTCCATTCATGAAAGACTATGGATTACAGGCCTACAGAAAAGAGGATTTGTGCGAGGGGACTAGCGCATATAAGAAGCATTTGATGCAGATTTACTTGGCTCCTGAGGCCCACTCATTGCTGGATTTTGTCCCCACTTCTGTGGCAGACGTGTACAGGTGATACATTTTTCTCTTTCTGTCTCTGTGATCAAACAACCTTCCATCATAATCTGGCTAGATTCCAAAACTATACGAGGATAAATTTGATGGATTGTGATTAAAAATTGATTGATTCTTATTTAGAGAATAATTTAGACGTGAGATTTGTCCTTCCAAGAAAGGAAGCCAAATTCTCTACTCAGTAAATGCTCTTGTAAATTCAGAGCAACTCCATTTGTTGTTAATGGAGCTACTCTGGTTTTGCATCAGTGTAAATGAGATAAACAACTAGCTCTGAGTCTATGATTTTTTTAAAAAAAATCACTGCCTCCCTTGAGTTTTTCCTTTTGAAAAAAAATTTACTTAGCTAATGGCAATGTACTAAGAGTTAAAATAGGAGCAATTTTCCAATGTGTCAGCAAAACTCATCCATAATATATTTCCATATGTGGTGGGAACAGCATATTTTTGCTGAATACACTGGATGGCTATATTTTGCATGGAGAAAAAAAACCTAGCCACACCAAGGAAAAGAAGGCACTCTTGAGTGACACTGTGCCTTTCTTTCTCAGTGAACCCAGAGGGCAGTACTTTGCAATCACTTATCTACCCAGAGGATTCTGTCATGCCAGGTTCTAGCCTTCCCGGCTTCCTATTCAAACACGTACGTGGATTTACTAGGAGGGCTGCAAGAGACAAGAATAGTCCTGTGGCTGAGGGACCTGGTTTGCTACCTTGTTCTATTACCGAATCCCCGTGTAATCTTGAGCAGATTATTCCCTCCTCCTCCTACTTTGGGACATTAATATTTAGCCTATTTTTGGACTGTGAGATAATGAAATGCTTAGCACAATGGAGCCCTGACCTAGGCTGGGGGTTTTAGGTGCTACTAGAACACAAATAATAAATAATTAGGGCTAGTGAAGGAATAAAGGTGGTGGTGTCTATCTTTGGTATGCAGGGATCTGCTTTTGTATTTCCATCTCTTCTGACCCAGCCAGCGTGTTTGAGCAACAAGGACCAACACACTCTGTCCATGGAAGAAATCTAGCCATGCTACTAAGCAACTAAATCACTGTATTTAAAGAGACAGGCATTTCTAAAACAACCGTTCACCTCTAGGGTACAGTTGTAGTCTAGCCCAGGCTGGTCCCGCCCAAAGACTGTAACCTTCTGGTGGCTGATTGAGGGCCTTTTAATGAATTAGTTGCCAACTCTGACAGGTGTGCTCTGCTCACCGTGGAATGGCACTGCCTCTTGGTGGTGCGGGGGGTGAGCTGGTCAGGCAGGCAGCCCGTCCAGCTGTTACACCCAGTCAGCTTCTTCTCTGCAGCTGCTCTCTCGTGACAGGCACCGTGGCATCCTTTTCATTATGCAGCCCTCCGACCAGAACACTGTTGTGGTGTCCCATTCTAGGGTGGGGATGAGGATGTGCATCAAGACTCTCCAACAGTCTTCTGCTTCACAGTGCTTCTCTCAGCAGCTGGCAAGCGGTCTTGGGCCCACCCTCCACACAGCAGCTGAGGTCTGTTCCCTGCCTCACTTCCATCTCTCCTGGCCTTCCCCTCTTCTGGGGCTGCCAGTCTTTCCACTCCCAGGGAGTAATTTTAGGTAACTTGTCTCAGGGCCCCAACTCTTCTCCCAGGCTACGTTTTCATAGGTAACTTGTCTCAGGGCCCCAACTCTTCTCCCAGGCTACGTCTTCACAGAAGAAAATATGCTAATGAGAGACTCATTAGCATAAGTCACAATCTCATTAGCATATTTTCCGCTGTTTCTTTTCGCATAAAAAGAAGCAGTGTGGACAGGATTTTTTTACGCAAGATCCTTACGCCTCTCTCAGACAGGTATAAGGATCATGCGCAAAATGGGGGTTTTGCGCAAAAAAGCCCTGTCCACACTGCTTCTTTTTGCACAAAAACCCCTTGCTCAAAAAGAAACAGCAGAAAATATGCTAATGAGATCTTAACTTATGCTAATTAGCCCCTCATTAGCATATTTTCTGCCAGAAGAACTGGCCGTTAAGACGAAGCCCCAAAGAGTAATTACAGGCTCCTCCCTGCTGCCTCCTCTCCTTCCTGTGTTTGGTCAAAGCCCTGCCTCTTCCTCACAGGTGAAGGTCTCTCTAATTAGCTGCCACTAGCTTGGGCTCCCCTATTTGCATCCTAATTAGCTGACCAGACCTACCAGGCCTAACTCAGCTCTTGCAGGGCCAGTGTGGGGAAGCCTATCCCACATCATGCTAACATAAAATGATTTCAATTAATTCTTTCCCCTGTTATCACTAACCTCCCAGCAAAAAGGGAATGGCCTGCACAGGAGCTTGCAAGTTTGTATGTCTTGGATTCCGGCATATTCCTGTTTTACGCAGCATCAGCACCCCATTATGCTGAGACCTGTTAGGACTATGCTAAAGGCCTTTAGCCATTTCACGTCACATTTTTTACCTCAGTGGGAGTTAGGCACCTGGGTGCTTTAGAGAATCCCACGAGGTGCCTCTCTGCATTTTAAGGTGCCTAAATACCTTTACCTTTAGGCTTGGCCTTCCAGTGGCTGAAGTTACACTGTTCTGTTTCTGCAGGGCCACCTGGGGGGGGAGGAAGGAAGTGGGGCAATTTGCCCCAGGCCCCGGGCCCCACAGGGTCCCCCACGAGAATGTCTGAGGTCTGAGACAGGGAGTGCCAGGAAAGGGCCCCTGAAATTGCTTTGCCCCAGGTCCCCTGAATCCTCTGGGCGGCCCTGTGTTTCTGTGCTAGGCCCAACTACTGAGGGATTATGCACTTGAGCTTTTATTCTTCTTGGCCTTACGGTGCTCCACACCATCAGGAGTGTCTCACGCACCTTGTTTAGTCACTGCCTCACATGCAGTGTGCCAAGAATGCTGAGATTGTTTGACATGCATTCAGCTTGCTGCTCCCTGCAGGGGCAATGTGCCCTGTTGTAGGCCACCCTGCCTTAAATTTGTGGCGGAGCTTGTGTCTTGGAGCCACATCTTGACCAGACCTTCCCTTGGTTCATGTCTTAGGCAACTGAGCACTCCAGGGAACTTAGCTGGTTACAGAGGTATCTTGTTACAGGACAACCTGTCATCCCCGAGTGCCTAGGAAGTCTGTCTTTGCTACACTGTGGATAACCCTACTTGGCCAATAACTAGCCAGTGGTGAAATCAGAGTGAGGCAATTAGCACCAGTGTGCCCAAGCAGTCCAGAGAGAAAGTCCCTGCAAAAGAGATGTCACCTGTAGTATTGCAAGAGCTGTCCTCTAATCCAGGTTCACGAGTGCTTGGCATCTCTCATGTAATAAAATTTGTGTTTGACATTGGAGCAGGTGCTAACCCACCAAAACACCATGGCTCAATCCTGCTGTCCTTAGACATCCAAAAGGTCCACTGATTTTTGTGAGCTTTTGGCCTAAATAAGGATGGAGCAGAGACTGCAATCAATCAATCAATCAAGAATGAGGGAGAAAATGTGTAAAAATGCCATTCATTTCTTCAAATGGCTCTGTGTACAGTATATTCACATATTCACTAGTTATTTGTCTGTAATATTGCAGTTATTCCATCATTTTATTGGAGATTGCCACAAGGAATGACCCTGTGCCGGTAAGAGCTGAAGAGCTATTTGTGAAGTTCCTCATAATTGTGATCCTGGTGCCATTGAAGACTATAATGTATTCACAATGGTGTATATTCCGGTCAAGGGCCAAAGTCTTCAGTGCTTACTCAGGGTTGGACCTTTATTTTGATTACTTTTGGTGTAAAATCAGTTCCAGTGGAGCAAGGCCACCAATGTTAGATCCCTCCTAGTGAAACCAGCCTCTGGAATCCCCAAGGGTATGTCTACCCTACCACCCTAGTTCGAACTAGAGTGGTAATGTAGGCAACCGGAGTTGCAAATGAAGCCCGGGATTTGAATTTCCCGGGCTTCATTTGCATGTTGCCGGGTGCCGCCATTCCGTGCCGCGCGGCTACATGCGGCACGGACTAGCTAGTTCGGATTAGGCTTCCTAATCCGAACTAGCTGTACACCTTGTTCCATGGGAAATTCAAATCCCGGGCTTCATTTGCAACTCCGGTTGACTACATTACCACCCTAGTTTGAACTAGGGTGGTAGTGTAGACATAACCCAAGAGAAATGCAGTGGAAAAATTTACTACAGCTTCCACTCTGTTCTTTTTCCTGGGTACGCTCTGAGGGGCTGGACTGGGGATGAGGTATGTCACTCCTAGGCTTTCCCTGCACCTGCCCAGCCCCGCTTTGCCTGCTCAGTTTCTAGTCCTCCTGCAGTTTCTAGTCCTCCTCCAGCCCCAAGAATGATCTATGGCAAACTGTGCATCAAAATCAATGTAAGAGTCCCTGAAAAAAACCAACAGTTTAATGATTCTGGCTCCATAAAACGATTTTGCTTAAAAATGACTCTGGTGACCTGCCTTTATGATTACAGTTCTCCTACTTGTAACTGTTCATGACAGTGGCCCAGCATGGTCCTTCCAGCTTCATTAGGAGCTTTGCCAGGATCTATGGCAAACTGTGCATCAAAATCAATGTAAGAGTCCCTGAAAAAAACCAACAGTTTAATGATTCTGGCTCCATAAAACGATTTTGCTTAAAAATGACTCTGGTGACCTGCCTTTATGATTACAGTTCTCCTACTTGTAACTGTTCATGACAGTGGCCCAGCATGGTCCTTCCAGCTTCATTAGGAGCTTTGCCAGGTGTCTGGCAGCTCCTGTCAGCACCACCAACTGGGCTGTTAGAAGTCTGGTCAGCAGTGTAGCAAGGCTAAGGCAGGTTCCTTACCTGCCATGGCTCCGGGCAGCTCCTGGAAGCCCCAGCATGTCCCCCCTTCTGGCTCCTACATGTCAGGGAAGCCAAGTGGATCCTCACACTGCCCCATGCAGGTGCCAGCTCTGTAGCTCCCACTGTCTGGGAACCTTGGCCCCGGGTGCTGCAGGGGCATCCCCTGTGGACAGGGCAGTGCGTAGAGCCATCTGGCCACACCTCCATGTCAGAGCCAGAGGGGAACACGCCGCTGCTTCTGCCAGCTGCTTGAGGTAAGTACCACCCGGAGTCTGCACTCCTGAGCAACCTCCCGTGCCCCAGCACCCTGACCCAGGGCTGATCCCTCTCCCATCCTCTGGACCTTTCAATCCCAGCCTGGAGCACTTTCTTACACCCCAAATCTCTCCTGCCCAGCCCCTCCCCAGATCCTGCACTCCCAGCCAAGCCTCACCCCCCACTCCCAATGCCCTTCACCAGCTCTGATCCCCCACCCACCCTCCAAATCCTAAAGTCCAAATCCAGAGCACCCTCCTACACCCCAGACTCCTCTTTGCCAGCCCCAGCCCAGAGACTGCACCACCAGCCAGAGCAGCCCCACAACACCAACCCCTCGTCCCAGCCCAAAGCTCCCTCCTGCACCCTGATTTCTGCCCCCACCCCAGAACCTGCACCCCCAGCCTAGAACCTGTACCCTTCCCCACACACCAACCCTCTGCCTCAGCCGCCTCCCATACTATTAACCCCTTAGCTCCATCCCTCATCCCACAGCCCCCTCCTACACTGCAATCCCTGAGCCGTGGCCCTACCCCGCAGCTAGAGCCTTCACCCCATCTTGCATCCCAACCCACTGCCTCAGCCTGGAGGCCTCCCCCTGCACCTTGAACTTTTCTTTTCTGGTCTCACCCTGGACCTCACACCCCAGACAGAGCTTTCACCCACTCCCATACCCCAACCTTTGAGCCGACCCGATGAAAACAAACGTGGGGGGGGGGTGTGACAGAGGGAGAGGGAATTGAATGAGCAGGGTGGAGCCTTGGAGTAGGGATGGGGCAGGGCCTCAGAGGAGAGGTGGAGTAGGGGTGGTAAAATGGCAATCCTATTCATAAGGAGCAGTGGATCGTGCAATGTCTGATGTTTTCAATCATTCCAAGAGCTGCTCTCCTTCAATCTAGGCAGAGCTCAGATCTTGTCAGCTGAGTGAGAGCTTGCAGACAGCCATCTGTGCCTGACAGAGATATGTAGGACTCTTCAGTACTCAGACATGAAAGCTCTGGTTTGGAACATTTCCACTGGAGAGGAAAAAGGGAGGCTTCTGTACAGAAATTATAGGCAAGAATATGCCCCAAACGCATTACAATAGGGGTGTGTTTTCAACACAGGACATGAGGAACCTACCAACTGTTCTCTCATTGATTAGTGTATTCAGTGCTTTACATCACTATTATTGATTTTTTTCCACTACTGTTCCCCTTCCTGTTCTCTTCTTCCAACGTTGTTCTTGAGAAGGATGATTCTCATTCAGCGGAACATTCCTCATGCCTACCTCTAACAGAATTAATTTCAGGAAAGTCAGAGAATTCCTGCCCATGCCCGACAGACTATGTGGAGGTAAATGCAGTTATATAGTCTCTCTCACAAAAATCTTTATTAAGGTGATTACAGCGCATGAGAATGGCTTTAATGCAATATTCCTCTGAGGAATGTAAACCTTACTTTTAAGTTGGAAACCCAGGAAATGCAGAGTTAAGGATGAACTTCTTAAGCAAGGCACAATAAAATGTTCTTTGTCTTATGCTTTGTCTATGCTACACTGCTTTTAGTGACACGGACATGTCATTAAAGGTCAGGCTCCCCTGACCTTTAATGTAAATGCTTTAATGTAAATGCTATTGGCTGTCGCTTTTGCTGACAAATTTTTTCACTCCTTATGAGTGGTGTTGGCTTTGTCAGCAGTAGAGTGCTCCTGCAAACAATGTGCTGTCTACAATACCACTTGCTATGCAAAACTTTGGTAGTTTGGGGGTGGGGATTTAAGCCTTTTTCCTGTTTCAGCTAATTAGGAGGTGCAGGAAAACCAACCCATCGCAAAGGCCTACATTTGAGCAGGTCAAGAAGCTGTTGTACAAGATGAACCCTAACAAAGTTAGTCCGGTCGACATGATGATGACTCTGGTGAGCTTAATAGATTCTTAATCAAACCAGAACACAACCCAAACAGGATTTAAAACACCCACCCAAAACTGCTGCCAGCTCTCCCTTCTTATCGCTTGGAGTGATCTTGTCACACCATAGTTTACCCATGAGAACAGCAATCCCACATGACCTCTAGTAGAATTAGCTGAAGCATGAGCTATTGTGGAACCTCAAGTTAACTTTGAGTTCCAGGTTCCATTCTAGCCCCGTTCCTTCAGGTCGTAACTTTCTCAAATATGTTTAAAAAAATTATGTGACAGCAAAATGCAGATGGGGTAGCTCCTGTCCTTCCTTCTCACCTGCACGGCTCCCCTGATGCCGCAGCAGAAGCCCAGTTTACTGTATATAAAAAGTACAATTCTCCAGAGGCATGTTGAGTATGATTCTACAAAGCTTTGGTGGTGGGATTGGGGCTAGTGGCGCCACCATTTACTGCCACTCACAGAGTACATAAGCACATAAGAATAGCCATACTGGCCCAAGTGATCCATTCCCCTTTCTGGCAAACAGAGGTTAGGGGGTTCATGTGCCACAGCATGGCCTAGCGCAGCTCTGTAATCAGCTGGTGGGGGCCTGAGGCTTAAATACTTATATGATCCCTGTACTGATATCCAGGACTTGGTTCCCAATGATTATGTAGAATTTAAAGCAATGGAGGCAAATTCTTTCTCAGAAGCATGAGCTCTTACTGGTTTCCTGTGGAAGCCACGAACGTGCCTAAGGACAGAATTTGATCTAGGGAGTTTGTAAGGAAAAAAAATAATCTACATCAACTTTTAACCAGAGCCCATCTAAATGGTACCAAACCAGAACCAGGCAAATGCTGAGCTCCCTGCCATTTATTGGCATGAACACCTTAGTGAATGGATTATCCTATAGAATCTGTTTGTCCTGCTCAGATGGAGAAATACAGCAAACACCTGGAAGTGGTCGTTGCAGAACGGACCCAGGACTTAATGCTTGAAAAGCAGAAGACTGATCGCTTATTATATAGTAAGTCAATCATGTTACAGAAAATATAAGGTATTCTGAGCAGTAGTAACTGAAATTTAACTTTCTTCATGGCAAAAAAAATGGAAGTAACTAGCTTCTATAGTTTCAGGGGGTAGCCAACTTAGTCTGTACAGGAAAAAACAACAAATGGTCTGGTAGCACTTTATAGATTAACAAAACATGTAGTTGGTGTCATGAGCTTAAGTGTTGTTTTTTAGCATCTATAGGTCATCCATTAATATAGTTTCTCCATGCAAGGTGCAATAGATATTTATCATTTCTTCATCATGCCCCTCCGCACAAAAAATAAATATTTTTCCATTGACTAGTTAATATTCCAGCTTCCTCAGTGTTCTGAGACCCTCTTCTTTTGCAGAGAATGTATTCTAGTGCAGTGGTAGGCCAGCGGAAGTGTCCTGGGGGGAGCTCTTAGAGGGGTTGGGTTGCTTTGTAGATAGCACACTGTCGAATTCCATTAAGAGGATTGGAATGAGAGAACAAACAGAAATGAAGTAAAGAAAGATAGAATCAGTGATGGGTTCAATTACTTCTGGACTTCCTATGGCTTTGGAATAGTTACCTCCTATGATTTCTCCTGGCCCATGAGCCAGCTGGGAGCTTAGATTAGAATCCAGATAGAATGTGAGATTCAGACCTATCTGTAATAGTAACACTAGTTGCAATAATAATTAGAATGCATAACAAGCAGCATATAGGGGCAAGTCCTGATCTCAGTTACAGCAGTTTGACACCAGTGTAACATCAGAGATTTCCAGTTATTTGGGATTTACCAGGTAGTGAGTGAAGATTTTGTCCTTAATTTTTTTCCAATCTCAGCACATTTTTAAATCATAAACATTTCTTTTGTTTTCTATATCTGAATGGGGGAAAAGTGAGGTTAACGTTCTTTTATTCTCCTTTTCATGCATTTCCCCCCCCCCAATAGCTGACATCTCACTTTGTGCTCTGAAATAGGTATGTTACCAAAGCAAGTAGCAGATGATCTGAGGCAAGGGAAACCTTCACGAGCCCAAAGTTATGTAATTGCCACCATCTTTTTCAGGTAAGTGGGAATGGGTAGATTTAGAACTTTAATTAACCTGCACAAAATCTGTGGTCAAGTCATTTTTAGAGAGGAGGCAAATAATGTCCATAAAAGACAAGCATTAAACTTTTTACCATAATACATAATGGAGAATTGCAAATTTCCCCCTAAGAAGAAGGGCTGTTAAAAGGCAATGGCTGAAACCTATGTTCCAGGCACTTACATAATTTCTATCAAAAACTGTGATCACTGGTGGGAAAATGGCAACATTTTCCTCAGGGCAAATGTGTGAGTTTCTGTGAATGATCACAAAACTGCCATTTGTATGTTAAAATTAATGAAGCAGAAAGTGAGACAATCACATAGCTGCATATCCAGAATATCTCATCTCTAGCAGTTAAACGAAAATATTTTTAAGAGCCAGCTACTCAGTCCATGACAGAGGGAGGATATTATGTCCACTTTTTCTTGTGTGAATAGTTCAAAACCAAGGATCTTTTATCCACAGTCTTTGGTTGTGAAGGGATTTCTTCTCAGTCTAAGCAAATGTTTTAAAGAGGAACGTCCCTAGGTAGAAAGCGAAGTTTTGAAATAAAAACAAAATAAAATTCAGGTACAGGGAGTGGAGGGGTCAAAGCTTCCAGCTGAGAAAATAGTGCTGCATGGGTAAATGTGCCTTTATGCTCATGTTTTACCAGAACATGCCAAACAGCTGGCTGGACTGTATCTGTTTTCTTGTGCCTTGCCAGTGACATTGTTGGCTTCACTCAGCTGTCCAGCAGCAGCACACCTTACCAAGTGGTGGACTTCTTAAACAAGCTGTACACTACCTTTGATGAAATCATAGATAACTACGATGTTTACAAGGTGGAGACGATAGGAGATGCTTGTAAGTTCTCTGTGCTGTGGACCAGGGGGAAGCTTAGGAAAAGAAGGGATCAGAGCATGACAAGAATAACCAGTCCTGGTGATCTGAAAAGCTCGTTGCTGCATTAAGGACCAAAAGTAATTACATTTTGAGAGAGGAGAGTCCCACAGCTCTACAGGTGCAGTTTCTCCCTCCCCCCACCCCCATTTGTCCACAGTATTCCATTGAACCTGATGAAAGGAGAGAAGTGGGTGGAGATGAAAAAACTCTTCTGTGTTTGATTTCTGTGGCCTGCCAGATCCTGTCAGATCCAGACCAATGGCAGCTGGTGTGCTTGGTGGCTATTGCTTTACAGAAATGTGTGACTCCAAAATGAACCAGAACCAACAACCCATCTCCACCCCACACTTTCTGACCAAGACTCCCTCTCCCAAATCTTCACATGTGGGGTAGCCTTGTCTCCTTTCCAACTGGAAGCTGGAGGCTCTCTCTCTCTCTCTCTGGGTTCCTGAAAGGGGATACCACACATTCTTTTTTATAGGTTTACAGGGTGTGGCCATCAATTAAAGACCATTTTTGCACCAGATCCTTCAGGGTCTTTGGGGGCAATGGACTCTACACCCTTCAAGTTTTAATGGTGGTGATGAAACACCTCTTGTTGCAGCAACTGTTACACTGAACAGCAAGGCTGCACACATTCGAGATACCAAGCATCTTAGCTATCATTTGGTTTCTAGAGTCCTCACATGATTCCCCTAACCACAGAGCAAATCTATAGATTATCTCGGCTGTGGATGCTCAGTGTAGGAGCCAGCTTCAGAAGGAGTGGGAGAGGATTCCTGAGGTATTTGGGGTTACTTGCCATTTCTTGGTAACACCAACCCAGAGATAAAAGAATGAATACCTTTCATAAGGCCTCTTGCACCTTCTCCAGGGTTCTTGCATATAGGGGAGGGCAAAAGGGAAGCCCAAAGTTTTGCATGGGTCTAGAAATTAATCACTTGAATTATTGTGCTGTGTTTCCTTTTCTCGGTATATTTCTGGATGTTTTTGCCCTAAACTCACAGAGCTACCCCAGTAAGCAAAAGACAAATGGCTTTTTTAGACAAGGCAAACATCCTTCTAGTAAATATTTTTTAAGTGGATTATATTGAAAGCTGATGAGGCTGGATTTTTGTTTTGAGACATGGTAGTGTCGGGGGTACCCAAGGAGAACGGTATTCGTCATGCCAGTGAAATAGCAAGCATGGCTCTAGACCTGGTGGCTGTGTGCAAGACATTTAGGATTCCACACAAAGCCAACACCCAGCTAAAGATACGAGCAGGAATCCACTCAGGTATGTGGGTAAGCTGCCATCTGGCAAATGTTTGTAATGGCATCTTGTCTATGTAAAGAGTAAGCTAGATTTTTCAGCCAAGGGCTGAGCATCCTATTTCAGGTTCATAACCTATTTCAGGTATCACCGTAGCCTTAGAAACCAAGATCCTGTGACAAAGCTGTCAAGGCTGTTCCCCACTCTGGCTGCAGAAAGTGGGGGCCTGATATACACTTTAAAAATACCCTCCCACTAAAGAGTTCTGCTTAAAACTCTCTAAGGTCACAGATTCCCCAATCTTGCATGTTATCGTGCTACCACCCAGTTCAAAACCCCTTTGAATCCCAGGAAGACACACTTAGGAACTTTTTCTTTGGGGTAACCCCAAGCTCTTTAACCCTTCCTCTGGAGAGAGCTTGAAAAACAAATTAATTTCCATATAACTGATCTGCAGAATCAGGCACAGGTACACAGACACTCCTGCCTTCTAGGACACTGGAATCAGATCATAGTCTTAAAAAGTTGATTTTATTAACAACACAAGAAGATATACTTGGTAAAGAAAACTTGGTTGCTTGGTGTTACAGAGCAATTGAAGAAAACAGATTCAAAGCATAGAGAATTGCTTCCCTGGGATTCAGTTTCAGTTACAATGTACAGTGGGGAGAGGGTTAAATCACCACAGAGAAGTCCCACAAACCAAAAAATAAAGAAAATAATCTGATTGCATCTAACTGCACATTTCCTGTTCACTTACATAGCAGTTGTTCCAAGGTTCAGTTCTTTCTAGACATGGATATTGCTGAAAATTCCATGCTTTGTTCCTGCCTCAGCCCATCTCCTCCCTGCACCTACTCTGAACTCATACCAAGAACTGAAGCAGGCAGAACACTTTTTTCAGTTCAAAGCTTTCAATTCAAATCTCTCATTCTCTTCCTATTGACTGTCCTGGGTCCCTGCCTATACTTCCTGGATACCCACTACCACTAGGTTTAACCCTTTACAGGCAATTTAGTTAATTGAATGGATGGGATGTCTAGAAAGGGTAGTATCCTTCCCATCAATCACAAAGGCCATTACTGCTGAGTTTTAAATGGCCCCCATCATCCGTCTGACAGATGCTTTTACAAAGAACACCCCAGCAGCCCACTTGGGAGCAGCAGAACCCACTTGTGTCTGACAGAAGGAGAGAGAAAGCTAATGCTAATAGAGACTGGGGCCAGGGGATAGTAATTTGTTGCCATTGTTGGTCCCATGTATTTACTCACAAAGAAACTTTTTCTCACATCCCTGTCTCAGTCCCCACGCTCACACTTTTGCTGCTCCCTGATCTAGGCCACCATCTGATTTTCCCACTGGTTGGCAATACAGAGTCTGGATTAGACCAGTACACGTGCTGTGATGCTCAGCGCTGTGGAGTGTGCCTTCCTTAAGACTATTAGGCTGTGTCTAGACTACATGCCTCTGTCGGCAGAGGCATGTAGATTAGACAGATCAGCAAAGACAAATGAAGCCGCGATTTAAATGATCGCGGCTTCATTTACATTTACATGGCTGCCGCGCTGAGCCGACAAACAGCTGATCAGCTGTTTGTCGGCTCAGCGCGGCAGCCATGTAAATGTAAATGAAGCCGCGATCATTTAAATCGCGGCTTCATTTGCCTTTGCTGAACAAACAAATCTACATGCCTCTGCCGACAGAGGCATGTAGTTTAGACGTACCCTTAGAGTTAATAATCAACAACAGAGCAAACCCTTCTCATTTTAAAGCAGAATGGGTTGATATTACCACACCAAAAGTACGAGCCAATGGAGATAATTAGAAATTGAAAGCTCTTCTGCTATTGTCAGCAATATACAAGCGTGGCTCCAGTTCTTGCTTTTCTAGATGCTTAGTGTGTGCAGTTTTGTGTGAACAGCCCCTGTGGAGACCATGGATCCACTTACCACTTGTCACAGGCATTAGCTCCACCAATCAGTATGCCATCTCCTGGTAGTGTCTCTCCCATCATTGTCTCAGCCTGCAGACCCATCTCAGTCTGAGTACTGTGGTGTCCTCTCCATAACTTGGCCATTCAGCCATGTCACCATCCATGTTTCTCCCTTCTAGGGAGGAGAATATCTATGTCAGTAGTCCAGCCACTTCCCCAGTGATGACTGAGGGGGATACAAGCCCACCCCCTACTCCGAGTCATAGGCCAGAAGCCTATGGATAGCAGCCATATGCTGCCTTTCCTTAATTCCCCTTACTACTTCTATGCATCCCTGGTTCTCTTCCCCTGGCCCTCAGCAACTGCTCTGCCCTCACCTCAGGCTTTTCAGGCATTGCTCTGTCCAAGATACTAGCACTCCTTCATATAGCTAGGAGCACAATTTTCCCTCCTTGAGCTCCAGGTAATTACTCACCCTGCTCTGCCTTGCAATACTTCTTTTATATGATCGCTTTTCCTCACAGACTTATTAGACCTCTTTTAGCCCCTTACATGCCACCCCATTATAGACCCATCTAGCTCTCTGCCCACCTATGACCAGGCCCTCCTTCCCACACCCTTCCATGTACCCATAGCATCACTTCCTGCCTCTGATCCCTCCAACTGAACCCTCCCTTGCTTATGAGGCTCTTGGGTTTCTGGTAACCCACCTACATGGTCCTGGAAATCAGTGGTGGAGCTGAAGCACAACTTGTTAAATCCAGAGGATGAATAGGGCAGCATTGACATTTATACCTTATCACGGGATGGGGAACTTAGGACACTGGACCAGAGCTGTGTGTGGTGCTAGCCACTGAGGCTGCATAAGCCTGAGGCCCACTCTCAGTGTGAGTTAAAAATATCTCCCAGAATACTTAGCTTTCTTTCCTTCAATAGGGCCGGTTGTAGCAGGAGTCGTTGGAACCAAAATGCCCCGGTACTGCTTGTTTGGAGACACTGTCAACACTGCTTCCAGGATGGAGTCCACCAGCGAGGGTAAAAAAAAGCCAAGTGCCTGGGCAAGGCTTAGCACATTTTAGTGAGCTGTGGAGAAACAAAGGGCTGAGCTGACACAAGCCCTGGCTTAAGTGGGAGCAACTCCCAAACTCAGGAGACTTTTGCTGTGAGGGCTTGATTGTGCTCTCAAGATCCACTCACAGAGGAAAACTTTCATGCATGACTTTCCCTTCTTGTGAAAAAAGGAGCTCCACCACCTATGAGAACCTCTCCACTTCTTTAGGGCCCATGAGAGGGGTTTCCAAGGGTCCAGAGTTCCTTGCAGGAAATAGGGCAGGCTATGATCAGGCCTTGGAGAGGCATAGGATTAGCAGCGAATGTTCATTGATTCCCCTCCTTCCTGGCACTCAATAGCACTCCTAGCTGAACTGTTATATTTTCTATGACCCACCCTCCTCAGTGCAACTTTCCCTTAAATGGGGAGTCTGGGAGATGGCTAGTGACTGTAGAAGGTTTGACAGCCTGGCTACTTTGGGGTTACATCCCCAGTCAGTGGGGCAGAGGGGGGAGGACAGGCAGAACACTCTGTTGCATGGGGAAGAAAACCCTACCACCCAGCAGAAGGATTAGGGAGAGATCTCCATGAGAAAATCTTCCAAGTGAGTTCTTCTTCTTCAGCTCCTCCCGGGGTCTGACAGAGTCCTGAATTTGGTTAGCAAGCTTTATCTTTAGCTGAGCTGAAAATCAAAGGCCCAGAATCTGAAATCTGATTTGATCCTAGCTCCAGGGGCCAGAAAAGGACGAATAAGCCAAACTGGGCTTTTAATTAGACTTGTGTTTCTTCCTCTACTCCATGAGAGAAAGAAGGTTGCATAGTTTTGTAGGGTGGGGGTACAATGCTTTTCAAATGTATTAAAACAGAACAATTTTTCAATATATTTTAAAGAGCTGTTCTGCTCCAAATAGTGATTCTCAAAATTGTCATGACGGCATTTAACATTGTGCCTTATTGATTATACATCAAGTTTGCCCAGTTTACAAACTGAACACGTGTCTTTCTGCCCTCCTCACTGCTGATTTTGCAGACTCTGTCTGTGGATCTGAAAGTCAAACTGGGTTCTTTCCTTTCACTCATCATCACTAGTATGAAGACTCTGCAGAACAAATTATGCCCTCAGTGATACCTGTTTACCACCATTGTCTTCAACTCATGCTCTCAGTTGTGTGTGCAGCCGCATTAGCCTTCTGTCAGTCTCTCAGTCTGCTCCCTTCCTCTTCTCCCTTTACACTCTCCTTTGAGTGAACTCATTTGATATCATAGCCTCAGTTACCACTTTTATTCTGATGACTCCCAAATCTTTTCTTCCATCCCTCACATTTCATCTTTTCTTCAGTCATGTATATGCCTATCTGTCACCTCTCCTTGTGGATTGCTTATCAGCACTTCTAAACAGTATGCCAAGACAAGCTTATCATCTCATAACCCTAATCCTTGCCTCTTTCCTTGCTTCTTTCAGAATATTCATCTGAGGATTTCAAATAGCTTTGCACTCTTTCAGGAACTAGCCCAGAAGATATCATAGTGATAAGTTAGAAGCATTAACTTCAGTGAAATCCAGACTGTCCACCCTATATAGACATAACATTTGTTTCTGTCCCAAATCAATCCAAACATTTTGTGGAACCAAAAAGAGTTCAGAAAAGTTTTCAGTTGGAAATTACAGAAACATTTTATTTCAGCATTTTTCAGTCTAAATGAAATGTTCTGAGATTTCTGAATCAAAATGCTGTAGAAAAATTTGAAACTGCTTTTTTTGTCAGAAAATTATTTCAGAAAATTAATTCCACCCAGCTGACAAATCATCCCCCTTTTTACAAATAGGCAAATTGAGAAATTAAGTATCTTGTCCCATGTCGTGCAGAGAATTAATGGTAGAAGTGGAAATATAATCCCAGTCTCCTTAAGTATCTTGTCCCATGTCGTGCAGAGAATGTAGAAGTGGAAATAAAATCCCAGTCTCTGGCGTTGGATGAGACAATAAGCATTTTGTATGAGGATAATTCCTTCCTTGATTAAAGAAAAGATCATGTTGCCAGAATAACTCAGTAGAAGTACTTATACAGTTACAGGAAATGGCACCTTCCCCTTCTTTTTATTTATTTATAGGCCTGGAGACAGTGGGTGGGTGGAAATTTCTCTTAGATTTAGTCTTTGTTCAAAAGTGAGTACCCAGAGAAGGCAGTGGATGTTCAATGGCCACAGGCTAACACTCCATATGGATTTCTTCCCTGGGAGATGAAAGGGTCACTTGTCAAGCAACTCCAGCCAGGCAGCTATAAAGAGCAGAAAAATAATATCGGATACAGGATGTGATGCGAAGAGTTTGTTGACAGTCACATATGTGTCCTGAGATGACTTACAAAGAGACCAGAGACCTTTTGGTTCATCTGTGAGCATTTCAAATAACATAGTAGTGACAGCCAAGAAACGAAAAGAGCTAGGGTGTCATTCAATAATAATGACGCAGCCTGGGGGGCAGATGGAAGTTTAGTTGGTATTCGTTGTTTTGAGTGGGTAAATGGTTGCAATAATATGGCAATTTCTCCCCTTCCAGCTCTTAAAATACAATGCAGTTCAAATACATACCAGCTGTTGGAGCAGATTGGAGAGTACATATTAGTGTGTCGTGGGAATCTGCAAGTCAAGGTAAATATGCAGAATTTGTGCTCAGCTTTTCAGAGGGGAAAAGTGTGAGCTGTCTTCTGGAATGTTGGGGTTTTAACGCTTCAGGCCGTCTTCTCTCAGAAAATGGACTGGTTGAGTCTGACGCATGTCACCAGCTGAGAGGACAGGATGGCTTTCCATGGGAATTTGACTCAGAGGAGTTTGCTGAAAGGTGACACAAGCTGCTCCTAAATCCAGCCAACCCTGGGAGCCAGGGTACAAACATGGGATCGACACTCGGATTCACTGCTTGGCAAGTGCCTAGCCTGACTGCTGAAAATCAAACTTGAGACTTGAAAATGGTGATGAACAATACATGAACACAAACTTTGCCTTTGGAATTTGTTAATCCTAGTGGCCCACATTCTGAGAAGCAATTTCAATGGCAGTGGGATTTTCGCTTTGTGGTGAAAATGGGCAAGAGTAATCACAATGGTTGGGAGGAATCTGTAGTTACCTACAAAACTAGAAGTTGCTGGCAGTATCTCTTGCTCTGTAAAATCCCTGGCCCTGGACTTTGAAGGGGGTGAAATCTAGAACCCATTTTTTAAATTTTGAGTTCATATCTATCTGGCTAAATATCCTGTCAGATGAAGCAGGCAGGTAAATGATGAAGTGTCCCACAGTTTGGCTCTGCAAACGCAAATCATTCCCCTGGCCTCCCTCTAAAACAGTCCCATGACTGTCTCCCCACATGTACAAGTGAATCCCAAGACCCAGTCACTACACAATTTTCCACTGAGCACAGTTACACTTTGCAGTGTGGGAAGGACCTAACCAAGTTGTAACCATGTCTCTCAACCAGCATACAGGTCTGGCTTCAGACCTTTACTCACGGCTCTGACCTCAGGAATGGGATATGGTAAAATACAGTTAGATTGTCACTGAAGTGAGTCAGGAGGAAAGCTGTGATCATGGCACTCTCGACTGATCTGTATTTGAGTTTGTAATGTTAACAGACCCATATTTAAAATGAGTGACACTTTCTCGAAGAGGAAGTGAGGTTTTTTAATGGATGCTGTAAATAATAGTAATAATATAGTAGTGCCTTGTGCACGGGACCGGGACTCAGAAGATCTGAGTTCTATTTCTAGCTCTGCTGGGTGATCTTGGCAGGTCACTTTGTCATTGCATGCCTCAGTTTCCCTTTCTGTAGAACGGGATAGTGATACTGAGCTTCTTTATAGAGCATTTTTAGATCTACTGAGGAAAAGTGCTGTAAAACAGCTAGATGGTATTATTGTTACACCTCAACTTACTTTTCTCCTTAGGGGAAAGGAGACATGGTAACATACTGGCTAGAAGGAAAGAAGGATACAGCCATCCAGAAGCAAGCACCCATCCCTACTACAACCTCTCAAGACCCTGATGGAACTACTTTTAGTTTAATTCCAGGAGTTTTGCCCAACGATCCTCTTTTGAGTTCAGCTTAAAGGGCATGGGGGGGGGGATGTTTAGTTGTTCCAGTTTCTCCTTGTTTTCAGTCTTTTAGACCTCCTTGGCATCCTTCCCATGTAATCCAGAAAGGCAGAGGTATTTGAAAGCTTCTATTGTTGTGCCACATCTAGAGGCAAAGCAAGAAAATCCCTGCTGCTCCCCCTCAGCCTACCGAGATGTATAGACAGTCATTAATCATAGCTCTCTCCCTTACTCCAACGGGGACAAAAATAAAGAAGTAAAACAAATCACTGGCGATGACAAATGTGCAGCTACATAAGGAATTAAATGGATTCTTCTGTGTCACCAGCTATCCAGAGAGGGGGGTGAGACCTGTGCAGCTGCTGCATAGGTTTTTAGGGAGAAAGCCCTGCAAATGGCCCCTCAGTCTCAGACTTGGCATGAGCAGCAGGCTGGAGATGCCAGCGTATTAGCTTCTCTCGTGGTGAGACGGGGAGGCCGTGCTATTTTGTGCCATGGTGGTGATAAGCCGCATGGGATTACTTTGCTTAATGATTTGAAAGGTGGGACTGAAATGTGGACTTTGCTGGAACTAAAGGCCAGGTGAAGTAGGAGAGAACAATCTAGCCTAGTGGCAAAGCATTGGATGAAAAGAACTTGGGGGGGAGGGGAGGATTTGGTTTATTAGCCATTTGAGTGACTTTTGGCAAGTCAGTTCACCTGTGCCTCAAGTGTCCATCCGTAAAATGCAGATGATACTAACTTCCTTTGTCCTGTGCTTTGAGATCCAGGGATGAAAAGAACTCAGGATTATTAAACAGAAGAAAGAATGTTTAAACAGTTCGGCTATGATTTTCCGGAAATGCTTTTAACGGAAAAGTTTTCTGTTAAAAGCATTTTCGGAAAAACGCGTCTAGATTGGCAGGACGCTTTTCCAGAAAAGCACTTTTTGCGGAAAAGCGTCCGTGGCCAATCTAGACGCGCTTTTCTGCAAAAAAACCCCGATTGCCATTTTCACCATCTGGGCTTTTTTGCGGAAAACAAATCTCTGCTGTCTACACTGGCCCTTTTGTGCAAAAGTTTTTCGGAAAAAGACTTTTGCCCAAACGGGAGCAGCATAGTATTTCTGCAAAAGCACTGACAATCTTACATGAGATCGTCAGTGCTTTTGCGGAAATTCAAGTGGCCAGTGTAGACAACTGGCAAGTTTTTCCACAAGTTTTGTGGAAAAACTTGCCAGTCTAGACACAGCCTTCATGTCTTAGGACTGCTGTAAGAGCTCTCTTTTTGGAATGATGGTTTGACACTCAAAATCCACACCCCAAGTGACATAATTATATAGGTTGAACCTCTCTAGTCCAGAACTCTCTGGTCCAGAAATATCCATTGCCCAGAACGATTTTAGTTTGCTGGATGTCCACTTTTCATGGGTGTGGCCAAACGTCTCACAGTCCCATACAGTTTGTTTGCAACCACCAGTCCTGGCTCTCAGTGTTCTGTGCTGTTATTTAGCTCTAATTTACCCCTATATGTCTTCTCACAACCCAGTAAGCAGTGGGAGTGTTGGTAATGCTGCTAGACAATATTGACCTCCTCTGATCTGGAAAATTCTCTGGTTCAGAACCAGTCAGGTCCTGAGGGTGCCAGACTAGAGAGGTTCAACCTGTACCACCTAACCTCCGGTGTAGACTGTGCTACATTAAGAGAAAGGCTTCTCCTGTCAACATATGTGATGGCGTGTCAGGGAGGCCCCAACCCTGCACCCCCAACCACAGCCAAACGTGCCTCTCAGCCGGAAGGTAGAACAGAAGGTTTATTGGTTCACAGAGACTCAGCGTAGCTTGGGATAGATGTTAGCACAGGTGCCAGGGTAGGCAGACTTATTCCTCTTGGGGGGAGGGCTCACAGGCCCTGAACCCCCCTTTCCTGCTCCTAGTCTGCTGTCTTCATCCTGCCCAGCTGAGACTAATTCAACCCCCCATCCACTGCTCACTCGCCCCACGCAGCCCCGCTTTCTCCATTGTCCTCCTTCCAGGCCCAAGGTGCTACGTGCTGTCACCTGGACCTCATGATGTGAGAGACTGAACATACTTCCCCAGTGAGTCACACCCAGCCTCCCCCTCCTCATGCAGATACTACTGCAGGGCCTGGGGAAACTGAGGCATGCACACACCCACACACAGCATCACTACAGAGCAGCATAGGGCAATAGGGATCACACACAGCACAACACAGAAACCAGTGAATGCAAAATCAGAGTGGATCCAGGGCCACACAAGTGGACGGCACTCCCACGACATCGCAACATAGCTACTGCCTCTCAGGGAGGTAGAGTATCTAAGCCAGTGGAGAAAGCTTTCCCATTGTCATAGGCAGTGTCTTTACTAAGTGCTACAGTAGCACCGTTGCATCCCTACTGCTCTGTAACTCAAAAAGAAAACGCTCTCTATAAATCTGCATGATTTGCTGATTGAGATGGGTTTTTGTGAATGGTGTCTCACCAACTCTGTCATGGATTATTTGCTCTGAATGCAAAGTATGCTGTACAATGTGCACTATAGGCTGTGTGGGACTCTGCAGTTTTTCTTTTTTTTTCCAGACTACAGATTTTTTTTTAAATATCACTACATTTTCTCTAGGTCACGGCTAGTCTATCTTAGAAAAGCTTCACTGATATAACTAAATTTATTCCAAATCAATCTAGATACACCAGTGCAAAACCCTAAATTAAGTGTGCTTAAACCAATATAATCTCAGTTTAGATTGACTGGGTAATTTATAGAGTCAAGCCCCATGTAATTAGCATATTTTATATTAAATATGTACTGTGTGATCACTGAAAATAAAATTAAAAGGTATTGCTGATACTGACATTTCTTATTTAATTAGAAAGCACATGCAATAATAATAGCAACTGACTTTATTGAGTGAGATTCCAATATACAGTCTGACCATTCTTGTTTTAAAGTAAATGTTTGCATTTATCTAAACTTTAAATGTTAAATTTGTATATGTTCCAAACTGTAAAATATAACCACCAGTAAACAAAAGTCCAAGTCAACTACATCATTGTAACATCTTTTAACACATTCAGTTCTTCCTCGGTTCAGCCAAATCCCACTGATCTGAATACAATGAATGTTCCTAAAACATTTTGATCTACATCATTTCATCATGCATTATGTATTTGGCACTACGCTTCCGTTGACTGAACAGTCATTTTTCAAATATGTTAAAAATTGGTATTAGAAATTATAGAAAGGGATAGATCACAGGCCTGTCAAGAAATGTGAATTTGTTACCATTCACTGTATCATATTGCGTATTCTTTTATAGAAAAGTTGCGACTGTTACTGATCTATGGTATACTAATGTACACTGGTAGGATTAAAAGACATTATAATGAACATTTTTCGAGTGCAGGTTATTCTAAATATAAGTCAGTGGTGTGAGCCTTTTGGTTTTGTAAAATGTTTGTGTGACAGTGCTTAGGAAAATTGCTGGACTGACACATGTAGCTACTGAGAGTATATTTGAGAGTTTGGTCCAAAGCCTCATGAAATTAATGGAAACACTCCTGATGATGTCAGAGAGCTTTGGATTGGACGGTTTACTTGCAGAAGAACATAATGGACAACACCACTGTAAGCATCCCTCTGTTGCTTTGTCACTGGCTTTCAACCCTGTCTTCGATGGACCACCTCTGCAGGGATAGGTTTCCATAACTCACTGAATGTCTGGTGCGAAGGTTTTGATTAGTGTCACTTGCGCTGACTGCATTGTGATTAATGTCATTTATGCAAACAGCTTTTGTGCTGTGGACACTTGTCTCCTGGGAAACAGATGTACAGAAGATGTGAAATACCAAGTGACAGTGTTCCCAGATGATTTGGCAGAGATATAGGATTTACTGATACACCTTGATAAGAATATTTAATGGATTTGGCCAAAATTGCATTGCCACCTAGCTCCTAGTCTCCCAAAATAGGTCTGTATTATTATCATGAGATAGAGGTCTCAATCCCACATTCACAGAGTATCCTGCTAGCAATGATTTACCTGGGGACCCATGAAGCCTAACCCCAGTGTAAGGTTCTGCCCCTGAGGCCCAATTGGTGGAGTCCCAAGGAAGTTGATTTGGCCTACTTAAAGCAGCAGTAGGAACAAGCAGCTAGTCTCCCAAAATAGGTCTGTATTATTATCATGAGATAGAGGTCTCAATCCCACATTCACAGAGTATCCTGCTAGCAATGATTTACCTGGGGACCCATGAAGCCTAACCCCAGTGTAAGGTTCTGCCCCTGAGGCCCAATTGGTGGAGTCCCAAGGAAGTTGATTTGGCCTACTTAAAGCAGCAGTAGGAACAAGCAGCTATCTGAACAACTGGGCCTGCCTCCGCCCCACCCCCTCCCCCCCCCCCCACC